GCAAACTTCGGTATCTATCTATCTATCTATCTATCTATCTATATCTATCTATATCTATCTATATCTATCTATATCTATCTATATCTATCTATATCTATCTATCTATCTATATCTATATCTATCTATCTATCTATCTATCTATCTATATATATATATATATATATATATATCTATCTATCTCTGCTATCTATCTATCTATCTATCTATCTCTGCTATCTATCTATCTATCTATCTCTGCTATCTATCTAACTATCTATCTCCGCTATCTATCTATCTATCTATCTATCTCCGCTATCTATCTATCTATATCTATCTATCTATCTATATCTATCTATATCTATCTATCTATCTATCTCCGCTATCTATCTATCTATCTATCTATCTCCGCTATCTATCTATCTATCTATATATCTCCGCTATCTATCTATCTATCTATCTATCTATCTATCTATCCGCTTACGACTTTTAGCTCTCCTGGCCGTTTCGTTAATAGTATCAATACCAAACTTGGTATGGCATAACGTGACTGTATGACGAGAATAAGTGACTAGTAATACCATGATTATCACAATATATATGTCATGAATGTCAGGATTTACATTTCATGATTTGCTGCTCTTGTGGTGGTTTCATTCACATGACATGTTGAAAAACTGGTTTGGTATGACATGACTGCATGGCGAACACAAGTCACAGAACCTATCGTGACAATCATGACATGCATGTCTGGTAAGTCATGAGTCATGACTACACGCAACGCTCATGGTTCGCTAGCGGTCGTTTCACTAGCGTCACATATACCAAATTTAGCATTACGTGCCGTGAATGAATGATGCATGTATATGTGACTAATACAAAAGATAATCACGAGATGCGTATCATGTAACAATATGACTACATGCCACGCTCATGATGCTCTCACGGCCGTTTCGCTAGCTTCACATATACAATGTCTGGTATTACGTGACGTGAATGAATGACAAAGGTATATGGGACTGGTGCAAATGATAATCATGAAACGCGTATCATGTCACAACATTACTACACGCCCGAATCATGATGCGCTCGCGGCCGTTTCGTTAGCTTTCCATATACAGAGTTTGGTATTACGGGACGTGAATGGATGACGAAGGTATGTGACTGGTGAAAGCATGATAATCATGAGATGCGTGTCACGTAACAACATGACTACACGCTACACTCATGATGTGCACGCGGCCGTTTCGCTATAGCTTCACATGTACAAAATTCGGTATTACGTGATGCGAAGGGACGACATAGGTAAATAACAGGTCGAAACATGATAATTATGACATGCGTATCATGTTACAACATGACTACATGCCACGCTCATAATGCGCTCGCGGCCGTTTCACTAACTTCACATACGCCAAATTTAGTATCACGTCTCGTGAATGGATGACGATAGGATGTGACTGGTGCAAACATGACAATAATGAGATGTGGGTCATGTAAAAACATGACTACATGCCACACTCAAGGCGCCAATACAGTTCGACGTGACCCGGTGAGCGTGCGTGCCGCCGTTCGTTTCATCGCGTCACGACGGCGAATCCCCGCCAGGGGCCTATCTGTCTTGCTTTGACGCATGCGTGCTTGACCGCGCCCGGCGTCCCTCCATCACAAAGAGAGGCAGGCGCAGTGCTGTCTGGGTAACGTCATCGGCTCGGAATGCAGCATCATCAACATGTCGCATTGCGCGCTGGTTGCTGCCGGGCCGCGCCGACGGATGCTGGTCGCGCCTGGCGTCAAATTACAGAAAGCTTGCTTTTTCTTTGCATCTATAGCGTCACTCGTGCGCGCGCGTGAATGTTACGTCGGAGTATGTAGGGTCCTTCATGATGAGTTCGTGGCCGTTTCGCTAGCTCCACATATACCAAATTTGGTGTTACGTGACGTGAATGGATGATGAAAATGTATGATTGGTGTAAACATGATAATCATGACACGCGCGTCATGTAAGAACATGATAACATACGACGCTCACGATGCGCTCGCGGCCGTGTCACTAGCTTCACGTATACAACATTTGGTATCAGGTGACGTGAATAGACGATGAAGGTAAATGACACGTCCAAACATGATAACCATGATATGCGTGTCATGTAAAGCATAACTACATGTTATGCTCATAGGGTGCTCGTGGTTGTTTCACTAGTTCCACATATACCAAATTCAGTTTTACGTGACGTGAATGGACGACGAATGTAAATGACAGGTCCAAACCTGATAATCATGATATGCGTGTCATGTGAAACATGACGACATGCTACGCTCATAGCGCACTCACGGCCTTTTTGCTAGCTCAGCATATTGATTGATATGTGGGGTTTAACGTCCCAAAACCACTATATGATTATGAGAGACGCCGTAGTGGAGTGCTCCGGAAATTTAGACCACCTGGGGTTCTTTAACGTGCACCTAAATCTGAGCACACGGGCCTACAACATTTCCGCCTCCATCGGAAATGCAGCCGCCGCAGCCAGGATTCGAACCCGCGCCCTGCGGGTCAGCAGCCGAGTACCTTAGCCACTAGACCACCGCGGCGGGGCGAGCTCAGCATATACCAAAGTTGGTATTACGTGACGTGAATAGACGACAAAAGTAAATGACACGTCGAAACATGATAGCCATGATATGGAAGTCATGTTCGCAATAATTTACCTCCGCCTCATAACGTTGTGCTGATTTTAAAGTGACATATCAACCTTCCTCATTCGTGCTTCGCATATCATTTATCCCCACTGTACGTGGGATCTGCCATTTTTTTTAGTATTAGATGTTCTTTCGTCTGCTTTCCTTTGACAACTGAGGAGTTCATACCTGTTAAATTAAAGAACTGTGCGTCAAGACTGCGGGAAATACAAAAAAAAGATAGGTCACTTTTATCTATACAGTTATTTTCTTAATACCCGGGTTTTAACATTTCAAAATATGATGTTGAGGAACGCCATAGTGGAGGGGTTCAAAACATCGCTCCCCTGGGGCTCATCATCATCCTCATCATCATCAGCAGCATCAGCAGCACCCTGACTGCACCAACTGTAGGGCAAGGGCCTTTCCCATAATCCGCCAATGAACCCGGTCTAATGCTTTCCGTTGCCACGTTATTCCTGCGAACTTTTTAATCCCTCGGCCTACGTAACTTTGGCTTCCCCTCGTGCGTTTGCCTTCTCTGGGAATCCAGTCGGTTACCCTTAAGGACCAGCGGTTATACTGCCTACGTGCTACGCGGCCACTCCATGTCCATTTCTTTTTTTTTATTTCAACATGATATCCTTAACCCTGATTTGTTCCCTGACTCATTGTGTTCTTTTCTTGTCTTTTAAGGTTACACCTGTCATTTTACTTTCCGTCGCTCACTGCATCGTCCTAGATTTAAGCTGAACCCTCTTTGTAAGCCTTCAGGTTTCTGTTCCTAGGTAAGTTCTGGCAAGATGCAGCTGTTATATACCTTCCCTTGAAGGTTAGTGGTAGAGTACTATTCACGATTTGAGAATGCTTCCGGAATGTGATCCGCCCCATCCTTACTCTTCTAGTTATTTTACTCACGTGGTCTGGCTCCATGGTTGATACCTGTCTTAAGTAGGCATGTTCCTTTACAATTTCCAGCTTTTATCCACCTATCCCTAAGTGCTCTTTTCTGAAGCAATACTTTTTTGCAGACTAGTTGGTTCATACTTGAAAAATTAAATTGCTGCAGAAACTTGAAGGAAAACAAAGGAGACAGGAAAGAGTGCAGACTGTCTCCCTTGTTTTCCTTCAGGTTTGTGCAGCAATTCAATTTTTCAATGCTGTTTTCTGCCGAGACTGCTTGACATTAGTTTAGTTTTATGCATACTATCTGCAGACCCACTTTTCAGCTTTCCGTGTCCAGTTCAGTGATCATGAGCTGTAATTCATCCATGAGTTACTCATCAAGGCGAAGTCATCAGTGAATCACAGGTTACTAATGTGTATACACTACATTAACTCTTATGCTTAACCCTTCCCAATCTACGCGCCTGAAAACCTTCTGTAAACAAGCGGTGAATTGCATTAGAGGGATCGTGTCGCCATGCCTCACACCCTTCTTCAGTAAGAGAAGCATATCTGAGCAAGCCCTTCCTTTCTGTTTAAACACATCGAAATTTGCGGCTGCCAGGCAGCTGCGCGAGAGAAACGATTTCACCGCACACTGTGGACCTCCCTGTTTCTTCTTCCAGCTCTTTAACGTGCGCCTATATCCAAGTACACTGGTCAAATATTTTCACCTCCTTTGATAATGCAGCCGTGGCGGCTGGGATTTGATCCCGAGACCTTTGGGTGCCGTAACCACTATACAACAGGGGCGGGGCCATCCTTTATTTAGTCTGTCTGGGTGAGAAACTGCAGTTTAATGCGGAAGTGAAATTCCTCGCGATAACTTGAGATTTTTGTAAAGCGTGCTTCACCACAAGTATACTATTGTTGCAACAAACACGAACTTACATCGTACTTGGGGGGGGGGGGGATTATTTAGTGCATATCCAGGTGAATATTACCACTGTAATTGTTCTTACAGGTGCAATACACTTCCCAGCTCCACAGTTTCTTTTCACCTTCAAAGCGAGAACGCATCAACCCAATTTCGTCTGTCTTTACACTTGCAGAGTTGCAAAAATCTGAACATTCACTAAAAAAAGTACAAATTATGAACCCAATCAAAATCACTTCTTTGATTTCATTCCTGTAGACCAAATAAACATTATCAAACGATTCTGCATCGTGAGAACCTCGTAAACACTTTTTCTTAACATCCCATTCCCATGGCACGCGGGATGGTCCGAAATTTCGTTGTGTTTCAATGACGCACTGAATTACCATAATCAAATGCATTGCATCAGTTGAGCTGCTTCTGTGGGAAATGCGGCATTGTGCGATATAGTTGCGCCTTCAACCGCATTTATCAAAGTACCAGTTTTGACGTCTGTGTTACTGACTTCTTTTTATATTTGCAGTTGCAGATTTTCGGTTACAACTCGGACCTGTACGCCAACATGTCCGAAGCCGTGGAGCTACGAAGGAGTGAGGGCCTTGTCGGGATCTCCATCTTGCTCCAGGTATGTTGGCGCGCATTTCTCATTGCACACAACTGCATAAACGTATAACCATATATTGTGGTACACACGAATTGTTTTTCGACATTTCTGCAGGGGGATGGCACCTATTCGAATACATAATCGTCACTGTTACGAGTTACTGGTGCCTTGTCCCATACATTGGTGCTTTGGTCCTTATTATATTCAGTTAAAAAGAGTGAGATGAAATAAATGTTGTCATTTGTTCAAAGATAGCCCTGCTAGCACCCATTTCACAGACTATACAATCCTAGTTGGGCTGATAACATATATGTGGAAGACACCTTTACATTATTACATTGCCTGGAAAGGTCTGAATAGCTATGTTGAACGGGATTGCTCGATCATGTTATTGATGTACAAACCTCCATGTTACGAAGCATTTTTGAAAAGGAAGTCTTATTTGTAGAGAAGAATGAATTTTATTATCCAAATGCTTCCACCAGCGAGTTTCCGTGCTCCATTTCTTATACATTAAACCTCAACAACTTCCTGAATTCTCTGTTTTCTATGAGTACATTACTGTTGCATATTGACATTACCAACCTTCCCGCGCTGGTTTTGTGGCTTTGCAGATGAATGTTATTGTCTCTGTGTCGTAAATTTGCAGTTCTAATATTTTATCTCAGTGTTGTCATTGCATTGCGCTTTCGCAGCTTGGCGATTTATCCCAATCCGAACTACGAGTCCTGACGGGCCAGCTTCATCGGATAACATACAGAGGTAAGTAGATGAAGAAGAGCATCGTGAAGTTGTCTCGTTCGTACAGCAATACATGCATGAAACGACAAATTCGACAAAATGCAGACGCGCGTGAATGAGTATTCGTAATGTCCTTCTTCCTAATTTGCCGCCTTTTAAATTTAGTTGTAACCTACACTGAGCTGAAGTGTCAATCGGCGCGTTAACTGAGTATGTTATCAAGTATAAGTGCCTACGCTGTCCAAAACTAAACGATAGAAATAGACGGGACAGGTTACCTCGACTTGAATTGGCTTTTGCATAAGTAATATCAATGACTGTAAAAAATGGCAGCTATCAGTCAACTAAAGCGTTTCACTAGGCTGACAGCAGCTCGAAGGAACACTCAGATTTTCAAAATATTTTTCATCTGTTTTATATTGAAACAAAACTTCGTTTGCCTTTTCGCTGTACAGCGTCATGATGGGGGAAAGCATAACGAAACGCATGCTCAACATTGGGCTACGTTTGTTCACATATAGTTCTGCGATTTGCTCCAGCAAGAAACAGTAGTAGATTAAACATTGTCCTGTGTCACCCATGTATTCCTCATCGTTAGTTTGGAGTTTTGTTATTAATATCGCATGCTGAAAAAAATAATATTAGCAAACAATTTTCACCATGTAGATCAACCGAACGTTGATAACGATGTTGTGGCAAGTAGAAATAAAGTAAAGTCTGAAGGTTGCTTTGGCGGAGCCGGCATATCACTGCACACTCGCACATACGACGTCACATGGCAAATTCTCTCGGCTCTTTTAGGAAGAGGCAGAAGTCAGGACTACCGTGTCTGAAAAGTAAACGCATCAAATGAATCTTCATTTACAACACCCCGCTACATTTACGCCGTACTATAAACAACAAAAGCCCGGAGGGTGGCTGTCGTCTTGAAAAGGGAAGTGGCAGTATGAAAACCCGATAAGTACCGAGCCTGCGCAGAGAAATACAACTTGTACGCACTCAACGTCAAACAACAATTCGCGCGGCGTGCCCAGTGCGATTTAACGCCCGCTAAAGAACGACAAAAAGAAAGACAAAGAAAACATTAACGCTATGAAAATAAGCGGATGACAAAAGAAACAGTTGAAAACAAAAACAAACAAAAGAAAAGAGTCACGGTGCGAGAAGCGGGTTCTCGGCAGCGGGGGCTAATCTGTTGACACGACAGCCCTGGTGCGAAGAAATGACTCGCCGCTCCCAGCCGCTAGCGGAGGAGGCAGACGCAAGATCCCAGCGATGGGACGCGACACGTGCTGTCCTGATTTATGACGACTCGTGGCGAGCGCCGGGCACCAATCCACTCTCCGAAGACAAAAGTGAGTCGCGAATACATGCGTACGACGCACACGCGAGGCGGCAAACTGCAGAGTGCGCTGCCACGTTTCCTTCAGCCACTGATACGGGCGCCGACTATACGAAGCTCCTGCAAATAAGCGCCTTTTGTTTTTTTTTGTTTTTTTTCGAAACTGGGAGGGCGCTGTTCAGCAGGCACAGCATGCACGCGCGCTGACTCTGTCGTGAGAACGCGAAGAACAATGCCGAAGGGTGGTGTCAAACACGTTCTAGGTCCTCTACTCCCATTGCTGCTCGCGATGGCGTCGAAGCGTCGTTAGTACTCCGGTGGTGCCTTAGTGGTCAACGTCGTCGGCCATTTCTCTTACCTGGCACACATGGAAAGAAACTAGCCAATCACATGCTTCTACTAAACTCGACCGTGCTTTGCATATTAGCTTCTAAGTCACATTGTTACTCCATCCCAAAAACAAAACATCGAAGGACGCAGCCGGAGAAAAAAACAACAACCATGCAGCACGTCTCTTTTCGTGTAATGTAACTTGGCATCTTAGTCCTCACGTACAGAAAGCATCACACTGTCGTTTCAATTGTCCCCCTCTCCTTTTTGCCTATAAGGAAGTGTCTTCAAAACTTCGCGTTGGCCCCAGGGGAGTCTCTCCTCGTAAGCTCCACATTTGTCGAGCGAAGCCACTCAACGAACACTGTTGACGACAACGTCGGAGCGAAATTGATTTCCTCCGTTGTACGCATGATTCGGCGTGGGAGTGGAGCTGCACCACAATTATGGGGCCAGTTGGTAGCCTGCTTACCCGCCACTTACCTGCCCTCTAACAATCGGATTCATAACGACATACGGCAGCGCACACCGGTTGAAACGACGAGTTCAAAAACAAAGGTAACAAAATGAGCGCATTGCTTCTGTCTGAGCACGTTGGTGCGACGTTTGAGACGTATATCGGTCCGGAAAACGGGACGGAAGCCACAGTACAACATGACGAGTGTTGAACTTCACATACTTAAGAGACAGTACAACAAGAGGAGTTCTGCCTTCGTCTTGTGCTGTATCTTGCGTCCCGGTTTTCGTGCTCATTTATTTCACTTGCGTTGTCCATTTTTTTGTCGTGTTCATCGTTTGACTTGGTGTGCGCTTCCGTATGCCATTAACGAACTAACAAACCCATAAGTACAAATTAACCAGATTCACTTTAGTTGACGCCACTTTTTTTGCACACTCTGTCAACGCGCGCACATTTGGTCACACCCTAGCCATAAAAAAAAGCTGAGCTGTAAATTATCTATAGTATAATTTTACCACTGTTTTTATCCATTTATTGAGAAATAAAGAGAAAGAGGTGATGACAGAAAGGCAGGAAAGTAAGCCAGGCAAAACCTGGTTCACTGCCGTGAGATACCTTTTCTGTTACCTGAATAAATGCTATACACGCTTAAGAGACTTATCATTGAAAAGGTACAATCAGGGCGAACTTATCACTGCGTCATCGTCGTCTACACATTTTTTCCCCGCGCAATATTACTACCTTTAGGCTGGATAACAGTGCGTGTGCGTTACTCTTATTTTGTTCCTCATTTTTCTTTTTTAAAGATAATCTTTCTTGAGATAGTTGGAGTCATATATTTTGGTCTGTCTGTCTGTCTGTCTGTCTGTCTGTCTGTCTGTCTGTCTGTCTGTCTGTCTGTCTGTCTGTCTGTCTGTCTGTCTGTCTGTCTGTCTGTCTGTCTGTCTGTCTGTCTGTCTGTCTGTTTTTCTCTTTCTGTCTGTCATTAGATTTCAGCCTGCAAAGCGAAAACTTGACTCATTGCTTAACGACCACCCATGTTGATATCCTGGCTGCGTTCGTACTAGTGAACATTGAATATTTCGGCGTAACATCAATATGGGAGCACAAGGTAGTGTATTATTTCATTTCTAAAATGCATAGATACGTAATTCTTACTACGCGGCGCTGGAAATGCAACGCTATGAGCAAAAGAACGGGTATTTTCTGCTCTTCACGAAAACTTCATGGTGCAGCCACCTACGAGTGGCTTTGAGTTCTAGAAAAACTTCGTTTGCTGAAAAGTTACTGTTAAATAGCATCCATATCTCGCGTAGCACCTACTGACCGATTTTCTTGCGCAGAACGTAAAATACAGGTTTTAATCTATCTCTCCAGACAGAAGACCATCGTCTTTCGACGACCTTTGCGAGCGACTCACGCAGTTCCGCCGCCAATGTTTATGCTCGACGTCGTTTTTTGGTATATAGCATGCTAACAGATATCTAATTTTGCAACTACTTGCTTTTGAAATTGGCAGAACGTAGAGATCGCCGTGAAAAAAAAAAAAGGCGCCGTTGCCTGACGACGTGTTTTGCGCGGTTCGATTGCCCGATATTAATGGGCATCTCTCGACGGAAGCAGTGCCCGCGCGTGAATTTGATTTACCGCGGCGCCTTCTCCTCCCCGGCGGCCCGATTGTTCGCGCAGCTGCAGTCACGCTTGGCTCGTTCAGTTTATGCTAATGAGAGTGCATGAATTACTACTGTGATGTAATTATTCGTCTCGTGGGCCGACTCGAAGTGCGAAACGCACGGCGTGGAAGTTGCGTTGGTCGATGGCACAACCCGGTTGCAGAAGCACACTGGGATTTATTTGATGATACTTCTTTTTTGGCTTTTTTATTTGTGCTGCTTTTCTTTATATTATTATTATTATTATTATTATTATTATTATTATTATTATTATTATTATTATTATTATTATTATTATTATTATTATTATTTGAAGTTCTCTAAGTTTTGTACTAAAGATGTCATTGCTCCCTCTTTAATGCATCAACTTGCTTTGGCGAGGATTCCGGCGAAAACTGGCGTAAGATTATGTCCCTAATGTAGCGCTTAGTCATTTCAACCTTGAAAATTTTGTGATGTAAGAACGTTATAGCATGTTGAATGTATGTCATTCACTGTAGGTGGCCATTAAAAAAGCAGCAGTACAGTGCATATGCAATGATATAGAACTGGACTGTCCTAAGAAAGGCTAACAGCTCGCTCCTTTACACGCACGTCCACTGCAGCGGGTGAAGTGAACTTCGTACGGCCAACGGCTTCAACGAAAACTTTGCGATGAAAGCACAGCATGTATGAAGAGCCCACTCCGAGATATAAGCGCTTGACCACAAGCGACAACGCCCTTTAGGTCAAAGCAAGTATGGAGCCGGAGAAGCACCCAATCCACAACGGCGAAATATGGGGCTAGCGTGACACCCTCTAAAGTGCGTATTTGGCTCTTTGCGCCACCTCGCGGCAGATAGAAAACAAGACTCCGCCATGCGGGAGCCCCTCAGAGTTCTCGTTTCTACAAGTTGTGTGAATGGTGTATGCACATGGCTCGACGTTTTTATATGTTCAAGCATGTAGGCGAGGTGCACAAATGGGAGCCCGTCGAGCACTGGCTCTGGTTTAGGCATTGTTTTCACGAACATTGTGGTACCTTTACTGTTATGGTGCACGTCATTCGCAACATACTTTCTGGATCACAAAGTCCGCCAACCAGTTTTGCAATCAATGTTTGCTAACAAGAAGGTCAATTTTTTAATGTTTGCAGAGAACAACCTTCATGAACGCCTCATCATCAATAAAATGTGCCAGAACTATTCTTCTCGAGCAGCTTCAACGCCAACCCTGT